TCTCTTTTCTCTGTGTGTGTTTATATGACAGTGGAGATGCCAAGTGCGCTGCTCATGGCAGCTGTGCGCAATGTCCAAATTGTAAGTTTCCCCTATATAGGTTCTGGTAAAGCCATCCTGCCAAAATTAGCAGCATTTGTTCTATTCCCGTTACTGAAGAAAAACATTGCCTTTGTTTCAGGCCAGACCAACAATGTATCAAGTTGTGAAGGAAATGGTTGAGAAGATGGGTTACACGGTAAGCTTGCTATATGTGCTTTACCAGCAATTGTGTTAGCTTTTAGGCTTAATCTGACAGTTCCTCTCTTGGAAGGTTAAACTTGTTCGAGTTACCAAGAGAGTGCATGAGGCATATTATGCTCAGTTATACCTGACAAAGGTGTGTAAAATGCTGTTACTATGCTCCGACTAATCATGTTCGCAAGTTTCAATAGGCTTTTAGGCTAGATGATGCAACTTAACCACCTTTGGTGTGGTTGTCATTACAGTCAGACAATGATGCTGAGATTATTAGCTTTGATCTTCGTCCTTCTGATGCAATCAACATTGCTGTGAGAAGCAAGGTGAATAATTAGTCTCCAACTTCTGTTTTATACATCAGCTAACTGATAGTACCATATTATTTTGAATTTTGCCCACATATTGAAACAATCTCCTGAGAGAGAATTTCGTAATCAAGAGATAGTTTTCCTCTTCCTCCTGTGTTTTCTGCTCATTCTCAGTTCATCCATTTCAAGATTTATCCTCTGGTTTCTTTATTAGTCCTCCTTTTGCGGTGTGGATTATGGTGTTTGATAGAAAAGCAAAACATAATGTGAATCTGATGCTTTAATTCCTGCTGTCTTATCCAAGTAATAAAATTTGGGAGAATAGCTTTATTCTCTCTGTTTCTTGATCTCCGACAAGCTCCAAAAACATTCTTAACGTGAAACGTGTGGTGGCAGTTTTGCTCGCGTTTTTAGCTTTAACATAAGTTAACCGAGCTGAAATTAGTAACATTCAATTTTAAGTGGAAATTTTTGTGTAGTCCAGGAATAAAATTATTATCCATCAACTGAACTTGGGTTCAATTTGTTGATTGCCTCCTCCCAGCCTCTGTTGCCCTCTGTGCAACCCTCTCACTTTTTTTAAGTGCTCTATATTGCTTATTTAACTACTTTTTATTACTTCTAAACAAAAATTGATGAATTCTTTTGTATAATAACCTGATTAGATATGATGTTCAGAATATTAGCCTGTTGCCAACATATTCAATATATGTCTTACCTTATATCCACCCTCTACTGAGTGATACAAATACAATCTAGTTCGTGATTCTTCCACTAATAATCTGCTCACTATAATATCTTGAGATTACAACTGCACAATACTCTCTCCATAAACCAAATGATTTCTAAGGGCTCGTATTGTGCCTGATATATGATGGAGAAGGGAGGATTATAATTGCTCCTCCCTTATAGAGATTATAAACTTGAGATCAGAGTCACTCCAATTTTCAGTTGAATGTAACCGCCGTTTTCGTATCTGGGCATATGCCTCCCAGCACTACTCCTTCCCACTCACTTTCATCTTACATACCAAGTACGAAAATTTAAGGATGTAACTATAGTCAATTCCACATTTAATCCCAACCTATCCACGGATCGAGCAGAGTGTAGAACTTTGTCCGAGGCCATCCACATTTTCGTCTAGTCCCCATCACTATAGTCCTAATTGCTCGCTTGTAATCTGATTGTATTGTAATCCAACTTTATCTTTACCTTGCACCAAATGAATGCTAACATAATAAAGCTTCTGTTGTCTAATTGTTCTAGGTGCCAATACAAGTCAACAAGTACTTGGCATACAGTGATGGTATGAGAATAGTTGAAACTCCGAAGCCAGCAGTGCACACTACTGGTTCGGATGGTTTATTGTTCACTGAGCTTGACAGGTAAAGCTCTTTTAGAAAATTCTTGTGAAACTTTGTCCACATCTTGTTTTTGTCAGAAAAAGCAGTTCAATAGATTGCCCAATTTTCTTACATGGTGTGTATTTTAGTGAAAAATGACACACAGCATTATTTCCTGTTTGAGAGATAAAATTGTAGTAGTTTGAAATTTGAAACTAGCAGAAATCTTAACAATACCTTATTCTATAACAATCATTCCCAGACAAGTTGAATTCGGCTATTATCCTCATTGACCATGTTACTCACTTTCTCTGTCGTGACAAATATAATCTAAATTGTTTTAACAATCACATACTTAATCTAACTTGTTTTGTGGGTCAGACCTTCTGGCCGGCCATGCATTGAAACAAAGGAGTTTATTCTTGTGCGGAACATGCTGATTGCAGCAGTTGAAGAACGATATAGAGATGCAGGTACTATTTGTTAACATGTTCAGATTTTGCGTAGAATGGTTTTTCTGCTACCATCTATGCTTTGTGTACCGCTTCCTTTCCATGTTGTTGAAAATCCTTGTCTGTCATTTATTGCTACTATATGGGTCCAGAAATTACATCAATGAGAACCTGCAGAAGGGGGACGGGGTCATTTTCTTCTAAAGATGAAGCATCAACTTTTAAATTTTCTCTGAGTTCTTCTTTTTTTAAAACCTGCAAGTGTAACCTTATCAGCTAAGAATTGACAGGCCTTCTTTATGCACTGGTTTTTCCTGACAGGCCTGAGGCCTTCCCTCGCTAGCTTATTTTTCCTTTTCCGGGGGGAATTTTTTCCTAATTCCTGTTTTCTCCTTTCTTTGTTGTTTTGCCAGTTTATATCCCTGGTTGCATGTTTTATTTCTCACTTGTATATTGGTAACTGCAGCTCTGTGGAGGGACAAGCTTACTCAACTGCGGTCCAAACGAAACTGGATATAACAGGTACATTGTCCAATAATTTTCCTTGACCCTACATATTCTGCGAAAACTATTAGCCTTACTTTCCTTCGACGTGTATTTGAATTTAAACTACTGGAGGAACACGATGGTTGATTTTGATTAGAAGTTTGTTTTCATAGGTGTGCTTTAGAGTTGTCTGAGCAAAGGACTACTGTGTATATAGGGAGTTATTCATCGGAGCCAATGTGGTCAGCATCGTCAAAGATCAATTGTAGCTCTCCGTTAATATGTAAAATAACTTGTGAATATCTGTATAGATTGTAATGCTAATGTAAAACAAACAGGTAAACTTATGGTTCTTGGACATGAACTTTATTCTGTTTCATGTTAATCTTGCAGTTTAAAGTGTGCCTTTCATGTCCTACAAATTGCTATGGTCTGTATAAATGGCATGTAATTGGGTGTCGACTCGCCGTTACCAAATGGCTCAATAGTCAATCTCATAGTATAGTTTTGGATCGTAATATGTGACCACTGTTATGGAAAATCAGCTTAAGATGCTCTTGTTAGCAGGTAATGTTACACAGGATTTAGTAGTTAATCCATAGGTGGATGCTATATGTATGCTCAGTGTAGAAATTGCTGGATTTTGTTGTACTTAGAGTTTAAATCTTGAATACCCTTCTAAATTAATCAGATCCTATTGGCTGATTGACTATGTCATTTAGGAACCCAAAAAAAGAAATTGGAAGTCGTAGTTATAAGGAAAGCGACGGGTTCCTGCACTATTAGACACTGCTGTGTTGACAGCAACAACGATAATAAATTTAGTGTAATCTCTCAAAGAAGGGTTTGAGGATGATAGAGTGTACGTAGACTAGGGGTGGTAAATGGGCGGGTTAGGTTGGATATGGGAGGGTCTTGGGTAATGCAAAAATTGATATATTATCTGACCCGATCCATACTTAATACGGATAAAAAGTGGGTTAACCGGCGAATAATATGGATATTCGTATTATGCATGACTTCTTGATATGATCACTTTTGGAAATTTCTAATCTCTTAAATTTAAAGGACTATCAATTTGAGGCTTTACGAATTTAATTTAAATCCACTAGTTATTTATTTTCTAAGTGGATAATATGATTTTTATCCATATTTGATTCATTTTTAAAAAGTTTATTATTTCATTAATTTTTTTATTGGATAATAGGTGAATAATTGTTTTCTTTTAATTATTTTGCTACCACTAACAAAGACCTTATTACTATTTTTGTGAAGATATAGATATAGAGCTTGTTTTCGATAGGTCCTCCGCGCAGACTGCAGTGTTGACAACAATAGCTTGAATATAGAAAAGAAGATGCTAAATATACCAGGAATCGTGATAGTGAATAAACTAAAATAGTGTTTCAGTCACAGCCATTTGTGGGTATATGCCCAGTTCAACGGGTATCTTGTTTCAGGCCGTAAAAGAAAAACTTGCACGTAATTGTTGTAGAATTTATTAAAAATAGGTTCTTTCCTTTATTGATCAAAGATCTTGGGGTCGTTTTCGTTCCGTCAACAAAACTAGAAATTGCTTGTCCGGTGGGACGGTTAGTGATCAAACAAAAACAATTCATACGCAATGCTTTTGATTCAACATTTTAAGTTTTTCTTCTTTTGTATGTAATAACGTAAAAATGATGGAAGTACGATGCACACATATTTATTTTGCCGATGTAACAAGTGAAGAGGGAGGTGCAAAGATATACAAAAATCAAAAAGAAAAGCCAAAAATAGGACAAACCGGGAAAACAAACCTAAAATTAAATCGAGAATTGAAATGAAATTGAGAAAATCGAACTTAATTTGATCCAATTTGCAAATTCATTAAATCGGAAATTAAAATCATAAGCAACTAAGTCTTTGTCTACTTTCCAACCTGATACCTTCGAAGATGTTGTATCTCAATCAAAAGATAACTCAAAGTAATAATATTTTTGAATTATTTTTGCAGCAGGATATTGATTTTCCAATATCCTTTTAATTGTTCTAAATGAGGATCGAGAAAGAAGAGAGTAGGACAGCTTAAAAATAGAAGCGACGGTTCAATGAAAATAAAAAAGTTCGTAAAAAAGAGAGGGTTAGAGCATAAAATATAGATACAAAAGCTATCAATGGCATATTCCCGCCACTAAGAAAAAGGGTCCCATATAGCAAGTAGTGGGTCCCACCCACAAAACCAACCGCTATTCAAAAGTAGACACAACGCTTAACTGCTTCACGAAACTCCCCAGTTTCGCTTCACTTCGACTTTGACATATCCAAAAATCCAAATATGTTTCCATGTGAGTGTGTTTGAAGTAAAGTAGTTAAACACCCATTTCCACATTTTCCGATTGCTCAATGTTATTTTATTTATTTTTTTGGCAGGGTGATGAGATTTACCTCTATAAGGTTTCCATCAGTTTAGCAGACATTTATATCGTTAATTAACTTCACTTTTTAGTCCTCAGAAAATGTCAGGTACCTACTGTTGATCTATGTTGTAGGCAGTGTCGATTTTGTTCTTTTTTCAGTTTGATATTTTCATTTAACATAATATATTCACAATCTCATGTGATCAAGAGGTTAGAAGTCAATCTTAGGGAAACAGTATAGGAGATTAAATTAGTTTTTTTTTATGTCGTAAAGTATATTTCTTTATCCGGTCCTTTTTTTCTCTCTCTTTAGGATCCTGATTTCTATGTTTGTCATTCAATTGAGTTAATATAAGCTCATAACCTATCCCAAATCGGGAATGCAAAATATGATTTCGGTGGGTTGATGCCAGATTTTAGTCAAAATTATGATTTGGAGGATCCAATGGGGCCAGGCCAAGTCATAGGCTTTGATGACTCAAGGGTCATATTAGGGAAAGGAGAGTGAGGGGAAGAGGGGGCAGCCTCGGCCCGATCATCCAATTCGCTCTAACAGACAGGCATGGTTTTGCAGTTAAAGCAACTTCGTCACTTTTGTGTACCCATCGGACGGCACCCCTTTCGGGGGTTCCTTAGGGACCAATTCAGTCTACGTAGATTGACTGAATGCAGAAAACCTTCCACTGGCAAGCGATCATGTTTTTCATAGGATTTTTCGTTACTCATGTCAGCATTCTCACTTCTGATATCTCCAGGTCTTGTCACCAAAAACCTTCCCCGATTGACAGAACATTCTGCTACTGACACTTGAAAAAGTAGCTTTCAAAGTCTCGTCGCTTCGTTGAATCACTTGAGCCCTAATACATTTTCGGTGCGATGGAGCTAGACTAGTGAGCAATTACGCTTTCTTCAAAGGATGGCTGCTTCCAAGCCCAGCTCCTGGTTGTCATCACTCGATCACTTCCTTTTTCATTAAGCGATTGCTTAGGGACCTTAGCGTACGATCTGGGTTGTTTCCCTCTTGACTTTGGATCGTAGCACCCAAAAAGTTTGTCTGTACAAATAATCTAGGCCTGTATTCGGAGTTTCCCCATATATAGCCTAACCCAACTAATGTAGTATTGATTCTTAGTTGAGTGATTAACATTTGGTCTAAGATCAGGCTTTGGGCCTCCCAACTCAACTTTTGGTGTTTTAGCTTTTTGTTGTGTAAATTCGAAGAATTTAAATGTAATTATCATCTGAGTAATCTTCATTAATCAAAGCAATGCTGAAAATTTCAATGCTTTTATGCCACATGTCAGAATGGTGCTCAGTAGATGATAGCAATGTGTAATGTGTTTAATCCATTTTGAAACTGGGAATACTTGGCCAATTCTTCTTTTTAGCCCCAATCCTGTTTTTTCTTTACTTGTATCTGTCATGTTTTTGTGGCTGAAATCCTGTCTATTTTTCTGTTTCCTCTGCTATTTACCTCCTGAAAAGTATGCATCCTCAGTTTTCGCATTGTTGGTCATGAAGTTATGTTTCTCTTATATTTAATATAAGTTACTGACTGTATTATCCTTTTCAAGTGTCTGTGATTCGACCAAGAATCACTATAGATTTAGTACTTGCATGGTAACTCTAAGTATAACTTTGTAAATTTTGCACAGATATTGGTGAAGGATCTTCATTTGATGATGAAAATTATGAAGATCAATTACATTCTAAAATCTGCGAGGGAAGGAAGAATGAACTTGGGATCCTTAAGACAGAAGAGAAAAAGCTGCCCAGTGATTCTGGGAATTCCCTTGAGAAGATAATCAGGAAACAAAATGATATTGAAATTTCTTTTATCAAAGAGCAAATTTGGGGCACTGAGGAGTTGAAGTTTGTTAATGCTTTTCGACAAGTGCTGATTAAGGAGAACCTGCTTCCTGCTATGCATGATGATAATCTCAAATTATTAAGGTGCCCTTGCCAATATTTAACCACAAACATGCGGAGTGTGAAGGGGAGTCTTGGCATAGCTGGTAAAGTTGTTGTCATGTGACTAGGAGGTTACGGGTTTGAGCCGTGGAAACAGCCTCTTGCAGAAATGCAAGGTAGGACTGCATTAATAGACCCTTGTGGTCCGGCCCTTCCCCGGACCCATGCATAGCGCGAGCTTAGTGCACCGGGCTGCCCTTTAAACATGCGGAGTGTAACCTATATTATGCATGAGTTGCTAAATTTTTGGTGCTGTGATAATTGAGCTAATGCAAGAGTTAGCGGATTTTAACCTTGATGGCAAGATCATCTTATGAGTTCTTATTAGAGATCTATAATTTACATATGCTAGAAATGTAGGATGCATAAAATTGGATTTCATAACTGGGCTCAATGAAGCTTCTTCTGTGTTGGTATACACATTAGCTGTTCAATGTTCTTTTGTCAGATTTCTGAAAGCTAGAAAGTTTGACATTGAGAAGGCAAAGTGCATGTGGACAAATATGCTTCAGTGGAGGAGAGATTTTGGAACTGACACTATAATCAAGGTACAAATAGTCTGATTCTTCTTCTTCATGTTACTGTTAAAATGTCATTAACTCGCAAAATAACTTGAATATTCATGAAAAAGATATAAGAGAAGGAGACAAGTCATTTGGCTTGAGCTAACAGCTTGTTAGATGGTTACCTATTGTATTGTATCGTATTGTTATTTCAAATATTATGTTTGTTTTGATTGTTACTTAAATTTTATTGTATCGTACCGTTAAATCTGTCGTTATGTAACGACGAAAAGTGTCACTTTATGGAACGACTAATTTGGTATGGTTGCATTGTTTCATTTTTTTTCCTCTCATCTTATTATTAAATAATCTTATTTTATTTTTTACCGTACCTTTTTATATAATAATTTTACCTCGTATCTTACTTTTTCATTGTAATGTTGCAAATTTATTTTTCATATCGTTGGTGCATGACTTCATGAAACGACGACAAACTATACAATCTATCGAAACATTATATACATCAAAACGATACAGTACAATACTATATGATACATTATGAAACGATACATAACAACCATCCAAACAAGCTGTAAGTGGAGTTTTCGAAATCCATTACTATTATATAGCTCTTTCAACATTATGAAACATCCATGAAGTTGGAGTGGTTTGAACTTGCTGTCTGCACTTGTTATTGCTAAAATGTCGATGCTAGTCACTTTACCTATAGTTTCTTGATCGTATACAATATTTTCCTCAGGATTTTGACTTCCATGAAAGGGATAAAGTTCTGCAAAACTACCCTCAGGGTTATCATGGCACAGATAAGGAAGGAAGACCAGTTTATATCGAAAGATTGGGGCTAATAAATGTGGAAAAACTTTTGGAAGTGACTACTTTGGATCGATATGTTAAATATCATGTTCAAGAGTTTGAGAAGTCTACTGCCTTCAGGTTTCCTGCCTGCTCTGTAGCTGCAAAAAGACACATAGATAGAAGTGTTACCATTTTGGATGTCGAAGGAGTGGTATATACCTATTCACTAAATTATTAGTCTTTTCTGGTGGATTTTCAACAATGTGCTTCTTATAGTTCAGTTTCATAATTTGTTTTCTATGTTATAGAGTTTAAGGAATTTCTCAAAACCTGTACGAGAAGTCATTTTGCGGCTGCAGAAGATTGATAATGACTTTTACCCTGAAGTAATTCGCTATACCCCTTATTAGCTAGCAGTAATACATGTCTGTTTCTGATTTCCTTTTTCTCGTATGGGTACTGTCATGTAAAACTGCCAGCTAGTATCTAACCTTGACAAAATAATTTTGCAGACACTTGGAGAAATGTTTGTCATAAACGCCGGACCTGGATTTAGGCTCATTTGGAATATACTCAAGCCTTTTCTTGACCCTGAAACGACGTCCAAGATTCATGTATGGCATGCTTTCTTCCCTTTGACCAAGATTCTTGTATCTGTTGCTAATCATTATTTTTAGCAGCTTCTGAATATTTAAGTCTTATTATAAAGAAAGAGATTTATCGATGCCTGTAATCAACTTGAGAATTGGTCTTAGATTGAGATGGCGGGTATGAGTCAATCGGACATATTATATGTTGCTCATCAAGAATTATAACTTTTCAAATTTCTAGGTTCTTGGCAACAATTATAAAGGCAAACTGCTCGAAATCATCGATCAACGGTAATTATCTCTAATTCTTTTTTTCTCTAACCTAGCTGTTATAGTGTTCCTTAGATGATTAACAAACATCAAAAGCTATGTGATTCCCAGTGAGTTGCCAGATTTTCTAGGTGGCAGTTGCACGTGTGGGAATGATGGTGGTTGTTTAAGGTCAGATAAAGGGCCATGGAGAAAACTCAAGATATCACTGGTGAATGTGGATTATTAGTAGCTTTTCTTCGCGTAAATTACCATCTTAGTGTATTTTAATTGATTCTGATCTACATGAAGATGAACTGTGGAGAGGAATCAGAATGTTTAGAGAAGACAATAGCAACACCGGATGCTACAAGGCAACTAGTAGGAGAGAACCAGCCAGAGATGGTATATATGTTCCATTTGATTAAAAATTGTTTCTTTCTTTTACTATGAGGTTTTCTTTGTCTAGATTGGTCAAATTCTGAAGTGCTTGTTCCTAGGACAGGTAAGGTGTTGTGACATATGCTACTGAGCCAGGATTTGAATGTGAAGGAGGTGCGTCTAGCAACCTGTCATCTCCCACCAGCAACAGGTACCAGATAACTCTATCCACCGAGGCTTGGATAGATGAGAAGAAATCACCTAGTGTTTTTGCCTCCGCTCAGATTTGAACTTGAAACCTCATGGTTCTCAGCCACTTCATTGACCACTAGGCCACACCCTTGGGTGCATTATCCTACAACTCTTTGTAAATTTTGATATATGTTTTATAACACATCTATATATTATTGTTGTTTGTTCAATATTTTCAGCATGTTGTTTTCTCCCTCTTTCAAGCTTCAAATCGTTTCTAGGTTGGAGAACCTGTATCAGAACCTGGTAGGGGTTGTTTGGTAGGGCGTATAAGAATAATGCTAAATAAGGTGCATTAGTAATGCAAGCATTAGTTATACATAGATTATTTCTTATGCATTGTTTGGTGTGGTGTATTAAAAATTAAAATGCATTGCATAATTTTTAAGAAATTTAATTGTTTACAAAAATGCCCTCCATATTCTTTAACTTAAGGGACTTCAAGGATAATTTTATCTTTAACCATGCTAATGCATGCATTAATAGCCTTTGTATAGCTAATGTCATGATTTTATCTGCATTAGCTATACATAGGATAATACAAAATAGAGTGTATAACTAATGCTTGTATTAGTTATACATAGGTTGAAAAAGTGTACCAAACAAAGCACTACTAATACACAAAGTTAATGCATGCATTATTTTCTCTAACACACTCTACCAAACGACCTCTTAGTATGTTGTGTTAAGTAATTTGATGGACTTCAGTTCTGCATCTGCAAACTATTCTAGCCAGGCAGAATGGAAATATTTCTAACCATGTAATGACACAACTAACCAATGATACATAGAATCAAAGAATCAGCATGATTATATTACCAAGTTTAACAAAAGCTAATGAACTATAAAATCTTGCTCTTTAACAGATGAAAGAATCTCTCTAACTATACCGCATTTACTTGTCCTCCGCCGTTGTCCCTAATGTCCATCTGTTTCAGTCAGCAATTCATTTTTGTTATGAAGGTACTTGATGAGGTTTTCTAGTGCAATTTCAGCTTTGTTGCTCTTCATCAGCTCTCCTGCAACTTCAGCTGGAGTTGCTTTAACTTTCAGGAGCAGATCCTCAATTACCCTAAACTTGCTGTGCTCCTCAATCTTTAGGTAATTAGATGCTAGTATCCTGAAACCACCGAAAGTGCAATACGACATCTCAATGTGCACATCCATACGGCCAGGTCTCAACAATGCTGGATCAAGTCGGTCCTTGTGATTTGTCGTGAACACTATGATTCGCTCATCCCCACAACTCGACCACAACCCATCAATAAAGTTCAACAGCCCAGACAATGTAATCTGCATTTGTAGAAATTTTAGCAAAATACAGGTTAAAGTATAACACTATAACAATATCTAGTGATACCAAATGATATTTGTTAAGGAAAAGGTTCAAGCTTACTCCTTTACTATATGCAATATCTTAATTTTATCCTATATTATACTTTGGGGGTCATTCATAACCTTATGGTTAGCAAATTGTTTCGTATCTGTCCTTGACTTTAACGAAGTTGTAGCATGAAATGACTGGATTTATTGTGTCAAAATACATCATAAAAAGGGTGTAGATATACCCCTCTACTTCTAATTACGGTTTAGAATTATCCTCCGTCATACTTCAATTAGGGTCCACAATCGAACTTTATCAGGGTCAAGTGAAAATACTAGACGATTTGCTAACAGCAAGGTATGAATGACCCCATAGTATAACATATGGAAGACTTAAGATACCTCGTACCGTGGAGCTATGTTGCAGGGACCCTCTAAAATTGCAGCCGCACCCGTGTCGGATCCTCCAAAAATGCACTATTTTGGAGGATCCGATACGCACCTGGAGACATTTTTGAAGAGTACGAGCAACATAGCAGTGCAGGAGTGCTCTGACCATTTTCCTTATTCTTATATGCAGTGTGGTTAAGAGGAATTGAATAGTTCACTGTAAACTGAAACTGTGTCAATGAAGTGCATTACAATACCTTGTCATCTTCACTTGTGTCATTCTCATTTTCCCTATTCTGCAACCCCACATTGCAATCAATGTCTTCTATCACAAGTATGGATCGATTTGCAGAACCAATCAACAACCTTCTCAAATCCGAATTACATTGCACCTCTCTCAAATCCAAGTCATAAACATCAAACTTAAGGTAATTAGCCATCGCTGCAACTAAGCTCGACTTCCCTGTACCAGGTGGTCCATATAACAAGTACCCGCGTTTCCAAGCTTTGCCAACTCTCCTATAGTAATCTTTCCTATTCACAAACATGTCAAGATCCTCAATCAGCTCCTTCTTAATTTCTGGCTCCATTGCCATTGTATCAAAAGTCGCAGGATGGTTTAACACTACGGAACTCCAATAATCAGTCCCATTATAATCCACTGTATGTAACCTCACTGCCTTTTTCTCTTCCTTAATCTCTTTGGCCCTGCCCAATATATATGGTAAATAAGATTTTAAAACCATCTCTTTTTTCTTCTTGTGAAAACTTAGCTCAAAATATCGAAGCTCGGTCTTGGGGTTGGTGCTCTTGTCACTCTGTTTGATTCCCATGGACTTCAAAATCCAGGTGAAATTGACATTTTCATAACAATCCGTTACTTCTTGGTACCTGTAGATCTAAGATTTTAAATCAGTACGTTTAAAATTTGAGTTACCTCAATCAATAACCTACAACAAAGTGTAATTATTTGTAACAGTAGCGGAGTCAGGAATTTATACAAGGGGATTAAAAAAAATTATAGAATGTCACAGCTGAGATTTAAACCAGTGAGCAAAAGCAAATTTTGTACCCCTTTTGCCACTTCACAAGACTTTTCCCTTATATAAGGGATTCAGCTGTTTATACATAATCAAAAAAAAATATTGTAACTTGCATATTTTCACTGTATAATTTTTCAATGATTTCCTCCGCTCAGCTCCTCCACCGATTCTTAGCAAATTTAACATGATAACATGAAATAATCTATTGTAAGAGATTAAAAGATACAGATAACTGTGCTAGTATTTCATCAATTGCTCATCAATCAAAAAAGAGTGTAATTAAGCTAATCCTCTTATCCCACCAACTAAGAGTCGTACAAAAAGCGTACTCTATTCGTTTCAATTTAGATGACACACTTCTTTATTAGTCCGCTCTACAAAGAATGACATATTTTTATATTTAGAAAACAATTTAACGTTAAGCTTTTCATTTTACCCACCTTACCCTTAATGAGAAGCTTATAGTCACACAAATATTATGCCCCACAAATTTTTAGCCCCTTAAACTTTTAGGACCACATGTTTTAAAAGTCTTTTTTTTTTCTTAAACTTTGTGTCAAGTCAAACTACATCGTCTAAATTGAAACAGGTAAGTAGTATATAATAAGCACAATTACACCATTGGTGTAAACTATATTCGCACCGTATATATAAATCAAATCCTTAAAATTGGCTGCACTCACTACCATTTTGTTACAATTGTAGGAACTTAGTACAGAACTATGAATTATATGTTTTAAAAATTGTTAAACTGTATGTAGTTCAAGTCGAGGTTTATACCTATCAACAGTGACGGCGAGCTCTTCATCTTTGTCGGGCTTATTGACTTTGATCCTCTGTGTCCAAGGAGAAACCTTTGTACCCAAATAAACGTTAGCAGCGTCGAACAACTGGTTCGAAGTGAGACCTTCAGATTCTTCTATGACAACTATCAATTGTGAGGAAAGTCGGTTCGATAATTTCTGAAAGCGTGAAGAAAAGAAGTGCTGAAGTGTTTCAGGTACAAGATCGCTAGCTATTGATCTGAAGAGAATTACAGAAGCGGTAAGAGAAGTAGCCGCCGTCAAAATTGCTTTAGAAGATGGCATGGATTCGAACAACTCCATTTTCTTCTTACCTTTGTTTTCTGCTAAGGTTTTCTGATGATGTTGAAAAATTGCGGGACTTTGGGGGAGGGGGTGGGGTTAAAGTGTTTACGTAGGGTCATGTCTTGGCGAGCAAGAAAATTGTAGGACGTTCGTGGAAGAAATTCGAAGATGTCTAGAAAACTCTTGGGCCGTTTGCGGTAAAATTTGAAGCCCAAGAACGAAAGGTGCTCACGTAAAAATAGCACGGGCTAGCCAGTTTTCGGACTAGTCATTCATAAATAGCCAACATTTGCAAAATCATTGAAAAATAATCATTATTTTGCTGCAACACGAAAAGTTCCAGCATAATATACTGGAGATCGGTGCACCTGTGTATGAACTTTCAACACATTATGTTGGACCGGTATATTATACTGGAACTCCAGTATATTATGCTGGAGTATTCTCCGGATTTTAAACAGTGTTTTCATTCAGATTTACCTTTACATGAAAAGTGACTAAATTTCGATTACTTTTGAAACTTTAGCTATTTTTGAATGATCACTTGTAAATCTGGCTATTTTTGAATTTCTCCCTAGATGGATTGATTTTGGGGCCCATTACAGCGGCCCATATAAGAAATTCAATCTGAGGCCCATTGGCCCATATGAATAATTTTTAGTTCCTTTACTTTGGTGGTGCAAATTACATTGGATGGACCATTTTAAAATCACTATTTATTTTTTGACCATGTTTAAAGAAGTTAAGGGAATATAGCCTCGTGCCAGAATTTAAAGCATGTTCATCGAAATTTTAGAACCCCAGGAATCCTGACGATTACCAGAATTTTCAGCCACAATGCCAAAATTTTTGGTTATTGGTCAGAATTTGTGGCAAATCTTAATGATTACTAGAATTTTGGTCAGAAATCTTTGTGATCATCATAAGCATATTTATGGTGATCGCCAGGATTTTGATCACCTTAAGAACGTGGCGATTGCTAGGAGCATATTTTCAAAATCTGACGAGAGATCTTTCTCTAAGACTTTTCTTAACGGGGTCAAACTTTAAATAGCGGCACCGAAATATCCTATTTGTGTAAATCACCTTTCATTATCTCTTTGTTCAGAAATAAGAGTATATAATCTACTCCTCTTATTTGGCACTACACCATTGACTTCTTTAAGTCCGAGCATGGCAAAATTTGCATTTCCATCTCTTATTTATCTACTACTACTATCTTTAAATTTTTACTTTTCAAAAAGAAAAAACAGTAGATTATCTCTTTCTCTGGTCGCCCAAGGAGATAGCTAAGTTCAAATCCAAGCTAGAACAATACTCAGGTACCT